ATATATTATATATATAAAATATATGTGGTCTTTAAGTGTCTGTCCAAGTAATATTTGTTTGTGTTTCCTGCAGCTACTAACACACAATGTAGACACACTACACACACTGCTTTAACATTGTTAAGTGCTAACAATGTTAAATCAAAATAATAATGTTTTTACTGTGACCACTGATGTGACCACTGAACATCTGCGATCCTGTGGTTAGGGTTAGCTTCTGCCTCAACTGCAACTGGTACCTGTATGCTTGCATTAAAATGAAATGTGACATTCAAAACGAAGAAACGATACCAGAAAAAGGGATTTTTGATTCCAGATTTAAAGAGACATTTATAAGAAGACAAAAAGAGAATTTGAATATCGTCTAACATTTTTAAATCTGAAGTTGAATGGGCAGGATGCTGTTGCTTTTAACTGACAAAATCACGTTTTTATAATTTCACACTGGTTTACTTTTCAGAGCCTTTTCTTTCAAGAAGAAGTCTTCAGCAGGTACAACCAAGGTGGAAGTCCCGACCAAGGTAATCAGCTCTAATGTTTTGGCAAGCAGGAATGTCAATGTCCCCCAGAACAGTTTGGTGACTAAATCTCCTTTAACGTTTTCAAACAAGCTTGAGAGACCTCAAAAGTCCAAAATCAACAACTTCTTTAATGTAAGTTCAAAAGGCAAGTCGGACCCCATCAGCCCAGCAGGTAACCGGGCTCCTGCAAGCCAGACTCTTTCAGCAGTGTCCGCTATTAAGGTGACTACAGCTCCAACTAAATCTGATGATCAGTTCACTCGCGGCAATGGGGGCAATTCCACACATCTGGATGCATCTCTTGGGTTCCCGATGGACGACTGGGATGATTTTGATGACTTTGAAACCCCTGTCAAAGCGAAAAATGACTCATTTAGTTCAGAAATATCAGGGAAGAGCACCAATCCAGTGTCATCTCCGTGTAAAGAAAAAACACGCTTCACAGGGAAACTAAACCCTGACGCCTCTCTTATGACACCAGAGTTAAGCAACAGTTTTGAAAACAAGAACGGTCTTTCCAGAAGTGAACAATCTATGGAAACAGATGAACGGATGACGCTCTCTGTCGATGAAGCTGCAGTTTCACCAGGACCTAGTTTGAATCAGGATCCAGCTGAGGGTGAACTTGAGGATTCTCCAATTAAAAGCACCAGAAGACGTCCTCATGCTCAACTGAAGTCTGTCATTAGTGATAGTGAAGAGGACAATGATGTTGAGTTTGAGCCTTTTAAAGGAACAGCAGGTAAAAACTGTTTGTTGTATTTTCTTTGTACATTGTGGAACAGATATTGGTCATGAAAGCATGTAATTATACACTAAACAAAGACTATGTTGCTTTGCTTTTTAGACAATAAGAAAAAAATTATTGACCCAAAGATAATAGAGCTTGATGACAACCTCGAGCCTGAAGATGACCTTGATTACATTCCTCCTTCTCCGATCCCTGATGAGATGTCTTACACCACTTCTGTATCAGAGACGAGGTCAGTTCTTTCAATTAATGATGTATTTTACTACTACCATGTATTATTATTATTATTATTATTAAAATCTATGTGTATTTCCTGTAAAAAACAGTCATAATTGGTGCTACCAGCCGCCTGCCTCCAGTTTTCTTCGCATATGCTGTAGTACTTCCCAAGACCTGTAAAGAGAAAATCAGAGGAGTTCCCCTTTAAACTGTGTGATATACATTTGTTTGTCCTTACTAAACCCTGAAATGTTTCTGTTTGTGAAACACAGTACAAAAAGAAGCTTACTTTGTTAATTCAGACAAGTGACAAAGTAAATGTATAGCTAGTATAGTAACACCTCCCCACGCAGACATAACATTGTTATTTGGTTTTCCTCTTTTTTCCATTTAAACTCTGAGCTCAGACCAACACCAGGCACTTTCCAATGCCCACTTTTATTTACGAAGTGTGATCAGTCAGCAGCAGATTCCAGCTGTGTTGTTGATATTTAACTGTGCTTTATTGCTTTTCATCCATACTCTTGTAAACAGGAAGTGTCTTAGCTGTGTTGGGGTTTTTTAGGTTATGAATACTGATTGAGATACACATGTTGGTTTTAGAAACAGTTTTACTTTTGATAAAACGATTACAGTAGGATATATTTTTGATGCCAAGGGTTCACACCATTTGCATTACTGTAATAGTTATCTTAGCAAAGTATCCTCTTTTAAGTGCATTTTCTTTTTTGGATATTACATAGACTCGACCTTAAGGTGGATTTTTAAAAGGAAATGGGACATAACCTTTCTTTTATTTCAAACAGATCTAAATCAGCTGTGGCTGAAAGCAGAGTCAGTCCTGTGCAATCAAAAGGATCTGTCACAACACTACATAAACTCTCTGATCATCAAAAAAAAGACCAAACAAGTAGGGCTTATACGTTTCCTGGTTTGTCTGTATCCTGTGCTCATTTTATTCATTAAATCAGGACTCTGTTCGTTGTCCCTGCTCATTCATTTTGTTGTTTTGCTGATCACTTCACAGATGAACTCGTTAGTATTATGGAGTCCATTTGTGCTCTGGTTGATTCCATCCCCGAATATGAACTAATAGCTCTGTCTTGTGGAAGTGAGCTTTTGCTGAAGAGGGCTCAAAGGTGTGTACATTTGACAGGAAAATGGCTTCATTATTGTTCATGAGAATTCTACCTCAGCATGATTGCAGTCATCTGCTTTTCTCACACAGGAAGAGGATTCTTGCAACTGGTGGTGGTGGTTTATGGAGGATGCAGCAGCCCGACAGCACTGTGGTTTCTGTACCCAGCTTTAAAGAAAAATCTTTTATCTGTGATACGTCAAATGTGGTATCATCCAGCGGCTCTGTGTCTGTTCACTCCAAGATGCCTCCTCAGATCAGCAGGTCTTCAGCCATCTCTGTGGACTATGACTCTGATCACTCTGACAGTATTATTAATGCGAAACCCATCCACAGTAAGCACAGCGGGACAACATATGTCAAAAATGAGAGTATCTGTGACTCCCCATCAGCCTGCAGCCTCACAAATCCATCTTTTGATTTCTCAAATAAAACGAGTACAGATCTGGATGCTTCAGATTTGTTCTTCTCAACCAAGAAGCCAGAGACTGATGTTCAGAACAAATCTAAAACCTCAGCCACCATTACAGCTGCAGAAGAAATGGAACCAGATGACTTTTACATTGACGACTTTGACATAGATGACTTGAATGACTCAGATATCCCCAGTTACTTTGACGAACCCCCAGCCTCGTCAATGTCAGCACAAGAGTCCCGCACTGTGACCACAAAAGTGAAAGAGGGGGGACCAAGCAAGTCGTTGTGGGAGAGGAAACCAACAACACCTGTATCTGCACCCAAGCCTTCGAAGATCTGCTCTCCTGGTAAGTCATTCTGCCATGGACGATTTGGGTCTGTACTTATCAAATGTCAAAGTAGAAATTTTGTCATAACTAATTCCACATTGTCAGCACTGTATGTGTTTCCTAAACGCTAACACTAAGTTCAACTTAAAAAGCAGATTAAGTTGTAGTTTCTAACAAATGTCCAACAAGCATATTTGCATAATTTTCAGCAGCCTATCATTCTTTGAATGTGTCAGTTTCATTTTACAGTGTGTTATATAACAGATATAATTTGTTTATTTTTGTTTTTTTTATTGACCAAATTGTAATGAAAAAGACTAATAAATAATTGTCAGATTGATCAATAATGGTTTTATGCTCTTCTGGTGCATTTTACTGAATTTAAATTCTTTCCATTGCAGAACCCACCTTTAGAAACCCAGCCCATGATCGGTTCAGAGGGTTCAACTTCCCCTACTCACAGGAGATGATGAAGATCTTTCACAAGCGTTTTGGTCTTCATCAGTTCAGGTTCAATCAGCTAGAAGCAATTAATGCAACGCTTCAGGGAGAGGACACGTTTGTTTTGATGCCCACAGGTTAGTAGGGAATATAAATAACAAAAACACCTTTTATTTTTAGAGGGAATAGATTTAGGATTAGGGTTAGATGCCAACTGCAGTAAAAATGTCAGTTTTTATTTGTCACTGATGCATTTTTAGGTGGGGGTAAAAGCCTGTGCTACCAGCTGCCTGCCTGCGTGTCACCAGGAGTCACTGTGGTCATCTCCCCACTCAAATCCCTCATTGTAGACCAGATCCAGAAACTCACTACACTGGATGTAAGCATATGTGCTCCTGCTGGTCATCTGGATCAGTATTAAGTGTGATGTTATTATTAATATGTATTAATATGTGTGGTACTCAGAAGGTGTATTGATTGTTATGTAATGTCCCACATTTCAGATCCCAGCAACAAGCCTGTCTGGTGAAAAAAGCGACAGTGAAGCAGGGAGGATCTATATGCAGCTCTCTAGGAAAGACCCCATCATTAAACTGCTCTATGTCACTCCTGAAAAGGTGAGAAATGGATGAGTTACACTCACAGATATTGGAATCTGTAATTGTGTTTTCTTGTTTGCTATAAATAAAGTTAGCTGTAACCATGTTTTTTTTCACTGATGCACCTTTTCTTCTCCCCAAGGTGAGTGCAAGTAACAAGGTGATCTCCGCCATGCAGAACCTGTATGAGCGAGGCCTTCTGGCCCGGTTTGTCATAGATGAGGCCCATTGCGTCAGTCAGGTGAGTTTGTCTTCTTTACATACAGTCTGCACTATGTTTTTATTTTTGCAACGGCCATTGGGAGTCATCCTGTGACCTTAAATCTTTCAGTGGGGCCACGATTTCCGTCCAGACTACAAGAAGTTGCATGAACTGCGTCAGAAGTTCCGCAACGTGCCGATGATGGCCCTGACAGCCACTGCCACCCCTCGTGTTCAGAAAGACATCCTCAACCAGCTGAATATGACTCGCCCGCAGGTGTAAGTGCTCCATCTCAGTCTCAGATTTGTTCTATTTCAATATTGTTGTATTCAAAGAGCCAACACCTGTACATTTTCCATCCAATATGTTTTCAGGTTTACCATGAGTTTCAACAGAACAAACCTGAAGTACGCTGTGCTACCCAAGAAACCCAAAAAGGTTGATGAGGACTGTATCAGTTGGATCAAGAAGCACTACCCACGTAAGTAATTCAAGAGTACATTTTCTGATCCTGGTCATTGCATTATTGCACTGCTGCTTTTTTTGTCGAAAATTCAACTCAAATTTGTATTTATGTCTGTCATATCTGAATAATGTTAAGGGGACAGTTTTTTAGAAATAATATAAAATCAAAAAGTGGATTAATTGCAAAATGTAACCATCATAGTGTGACAGTTGTACTGTCGCTGTTACCTTTTTAAAGTAAGTATAGAGCAAACGGTAAACTAAAGGTTAGCCTTTTGAAAGCCGTTGCTTTTTTCTCCGTTGACTTAAATGAATGGCTGTGACTTCGGACTTTTTCCGTGCATCTCTGCATGTTGCAGGTGACTCTGGCATTGTGTACTGCCTGTCCCGTAATGACTGTGATGCCATGGCTGAGAGTCTGCAGAGAGCAGGGATATTGGCTCTGTCGTATCACGCAGGGCTGCGTGACAGTGACAGAGAATATGTGCAGAGCAAGTGGATCAATCAGGACGGCTGCCAGGTGAGGTCACCTCTCAATCGCTGCAACATTTAGCAAACCAGTAGCTGTTGGAAGGGTTTTAAAGTGCACATTGCTCTTGTTTCTCTTTGTTTGCTCATTTCCTTTTTGTCTGCCAGGTCATCTGTGCCACCATAGCCTTTGGCATGGGGATTGACAAACCTGACGTGCGCTATGTGATCCACGCCAGTCTGCCTAAGTCAGTGGAGGGTTACTATCAGGAGTCTGGGAGAGCTGGCAGAGATGGAGAGATCTCTCACTGTATTCTCTTCTACTCCTACACCGACGTCCACCGCATCAAGAGGATTATCAGCAGTATGTGGCAAAAATATGGACCTTTCTCATGGTTTTGTTTTGTGATTTTAGATAGAGAGATAGATAGATAGAGAGAGAGATAGATAGAGAGAGAGAGAGATAGAGAGAGAGAGAGATAGATAGAGAGAGAGAGAGAGATAGATAGAGAGATATAGAGATAGATAGATA